CACATATAATCATCCAGTAGGATAAAGCTTAGTGAGGAAGTCTATTCAGAAATAAGCTAAGCTTTAGTCATCCGTTCCTTCTCCTCCCATCTCTGTCAGCGACACAACACAGACAGAAATAGCACTGAAATAAGCTAAACGCTCCGTTTTCACAGAAGACACAATAGACACCCTGTAGACAGAATTTCACAAGTGGTGATTCACTGAACTGCGCCTGAGTGTTTGTATGTGTGAACCAAGCAATAGCTCACTAGCAAAGGGATTACCATCACAGAGAACAGTGAAGCAGAGCCGGGAAATATCCAGAAATAGTATCCTCCAGTTGCTCTGCACTTTTTCTATAGATGTGCATCAAAAAACAGCAACAGTGCCGCTCCGAATCAACAATCTTTGCTTCCCTGACTGCAGCACAATATAGCTCCCAACTGTATTCAGTTAAGCTTTGTCCCCCCAGTTATTCCCATCCTGTTTTATTGCTTTATGAGAAAATATTTGAATCCCTGTCTCTGTCTCTTCCTCCTCTGCCTTCCCTCCCTCCATCTCCTCTTCCACCTTAATAACAGAGTTAATGAGGGCAGGGCAAAGTGATCAATCCAATTTTCATCCTCATAGAAGGCACAGCAGCAGACTACATCTGCCCAAATAATCCCTCCTCTCGCCACCTCTGTCTGTCTCTCCCACTGCACTCCCACATACACACAGAAACGGACGCCTTTTTGTACCCCAGAGGGAGTCATTCTATATCGCAAGGGGGAACTGTAACAGGATTTCTGCAGCATCTCTTGGGTCAGAGTGGGTGGTCATACCTAACTGAATAAGGAGAATGAGAAAATCAGATCATCTGCAATAAAAGCTGATTTATTTCCGTATTGGGCGCAGGCATGCGGTATTTGCTACCTGCTATGAAATCGTCGGAAAATCACAAAATACCAATAATAGGATTTATTAGCCGAGGCGAAATGAAAAATGGAGGCACGTGTTCACACATCCATCCATCAACGCATGTTCACACACAAGCTTTGTCTCTTTGTTATTCACACAGTTGACAAGATGACAAACACATGATCACATTCCAAACCTCAACTAAAAACGTCACTTCCCGAAATCAACGTGAGCTTAATGCATGCACTTGCACATGTGTGCTTGCAAAGGTACACATACAGTACCATGAGTACCACCTACACACACACACATGCACACACACACACACACACACACACACACAGGCAGTGACTATCACTGCAGCAGGAACAGAGACAAAGAGACACTGGGAGAAAATGTGGCTTGCAAACACAACCTTGAAGTGAAAAATCTCCTTAATTATATTTTTCAGTGTTGCTTTTGGCAAGTACTAGGAATGAATCTCCGCTCAGTCAGACATGGTCCTGCTTTGCCTGTCTGCTTGTGCTGTGCTACGCAGCCTGTAAAGATGGATTGTAGATGAGATAGATAAACGGAAGACAAATGTGCAGGAAATGAAAAGAGAAATGACAACGGGAATAAGATGAGTTGGGAGCAAAAAAAAAAACAAAGAGGAACTGGTAGGGAGATTAGCGTGATTAGAGATACACTGACTGCTTCAGTCTGGAGGAGTGAATTAGGAGAAGGAGGAACACATGAGACTTGTGTTTATTGGTTCCCTGAGCCCTGCAGTTAAGACTCAGATCCAGACAGGGGTGGCATGTAGGAGAGAGGAGAAAAAGGGTGTCTGACCACGCTGGTTGCTGGTTGCACCGCATTGTTATTAGCAGAGCCCCTCCACCCACTACCCTCACTCCTGTCGCAGAGAAAAATGTTAACTCTTGCATGGCTGGCGGGTGAAACTGTATGAAGGGACAAAGAGGAGAGGGAAGGAGTTCACTTCAAATGCAAAGCAGTTGCAGACAAAGAATTCAGTGATAGCAGAATTCTCTGTGGGACCGTAAGTAAGTTGGCAAATTCACGCACACACACACATACACAGACGCACACAGTCAGACATAAAGCTGGCAAGGTGAGGCAGCCCAGACAAAGAAAAGCTGAGTGCAACTTAGACAGGCTGAGTCACTTCGGTTTATTTTAGGGGGAAAATGATAATAGAAACAAATGATGCTGCAGAGAGTGAGGAGAGGGGGTGGAGAGGATGTGGGGGATTCTAGTTTGTATTGCAATGTGTGTGAGTGTGTGTATGCATGTGTAATGTGCAAGTGGCAAACCCCAGGGGTGTGGGGGAGGGAAAACTGGCAAAGGATCAGTGAGAGGTGAGCAAAGAATAGAGCACGCTGAGGTTTTTTTAGGGGTGGTAATGATGTGCAACAAAAAAAAAAAAAAGTGTGTGTGTGTGACAGAAATACTGTTTTCATGCATTGGACAAAGGAAGGTGAAAGAGTGCAGGCTGGGCAAAGACTTCCTAAGGTATGACGCTCAGTTTAAGGATTCACATATGCTGCTGTTCTGGCAGATAGGTTTATTTTTGGGAGCAAAGCTCAAAAAGAAAATCAATGTACAGTCTGGAGAAGTATCATAAAAAATTAATGATTGTGTGGCTTTACAGTCAAGTTAAGTATAGCACTTAAGAGTTCTGTCCTCATAAACACACTGCTGCACAAACTTGGTTTGAGTTCATTCGCAGAGTGGCATTAATTTGCTTAATAAGAGCTGTAGCCTGCTGACTAATATAATTTAAATGCACGAGAAAATCTGCGGCACTTCCCTTAAAGTGGCTACAGATGCACACACATACACACAAGTGCAAAAAAGGTCTTTCATGTTGACTCCCTACAGGACAGGGAAGTGTGTGTGTGTGCGTGTGTGTCATCAGCGGGGGCGTGCCTCTCTGTTCACCCTCTGATGTCCTGCCCGTGACTGCAGGGGAGGAGCCACAACAAGCTCATTGCCACCTTCCAGACAAAGACAGCGTGAATTTGAGAATGTGTGTTTGCATGTGTTGACACTTCATTCACACTGACTTCACTCACACACACACACACACACAACAACATATGCACCATCCTCATACGAAGCAAAGACAAACCTCCAAATTGCTTAATTATGAGTCACAACACCAGTTAGTGAAATCAGTGCAGCCTCCTCCTCCTTCTCTCGTCTCACACACATTTAATTACTTTTACAGAACACTTTTGTCCAAATAAAAGACAGAAAGAAGCAATACATGTTTATAAATACACAACATGATATTGAAAGGCACACTGACACACTTCCCCTCCTCTCCCTCCTTCACTCCACTTATCATCTCTATTTTCTCCCTCCCTTCCTCCTCCTTCTTCTCCTCTGTTCTGTCCTATAAAATGACCTTGAAGGTCGCACCGGTACACTACACTCATGGGCTTTGTGACAAACTGTCTTACCTGCAGAAACACACACACATACATACGCGCCTGAGCCCAAGCACCACAACAAAACACACACAATCACACACACACACACACACACACACACACACACACACACACACACACTGCTGCGAGTGGTTTTCCTGGCAGAGATCTGCAGAATTGATCCCTGTTCAGACATTGCAGAGGTCAGATGTAATGAATCAATCACACATGCATCAGCATCTAGAACAGCAGCTACAGCCAAGGCCAGGGGCTCCACTGCCCTACTTTGATGCAGTGTCAACCTCCACATTAACATGACTTGGAGGGGATTGGGAAGATTGAGCCAGATGGACTGGACGATCCATAGACATGGGAAGTCTGTGATATTGGGATCGATAATGGCAGCAGCCGATTCAGATACACGCAAAAACCACACTTCTCACACGTATATTTTATGAACAGGGTAGAATCCATCGACCACGTGTCTGAGCGGTGCGGCCAGATGCTAAATGGTGTAAACCCTCACACAGCTGCAAAGCTGAAACAACAATCTGAGTTGAATAAAAGAAGGAAAGCTCCCCCCTGCATCGTCTCAAGGACAACCTGATCATCAGACACCAATCAATCAGGACAAGAGACAGCTGAGTGTGAAAGACATGCCCTCAGTCTGCTCACCTTTATTTGATCCATCCCTTCCTGTCTTACCTCCCCTCCCTCCTCTCTAAGTAGCCTAAAGGTGAGGCTGAGGACATGGGAATTGTCTCAAAAGTAACTAAAACACTGTGCATTTGACTCCTCCTCGGGCTTTGCAAAGAAGTGAGAGGAAACTAAAGACAGTGTGAGGTATTTATGTGTGGTAAATGAAACTGAGGAGAAGAAAATGAAACCATTATCTGTGTTAAATCGAGCAAAGGATTTCTATCATGGTTCAGTCAGTCTCTGAATAAGGCATAACTTTATTACAACTTCACATTCTGCTTCTTCAAAACCACTTCCATTAAATGGCTAGAGTCTGAGTCAGCATAACAGCACTATAACACAACTACACAACAGCTTTTCCAGCATTTGAGAATGTGGATTATTTCCTTTTCTGTTTCTTTTTCTTGATGCCAGAAATTATTACAGCACAAAATCTGCCCCAAAACTAACAAATAAATGATAATTGTTAAAAAAAAATAAAATAATAAACACACATTTCTTTAAACCGTCTTCCTTGTCACCTCTCAGTTCAGTGGATCATAGCAGGAGTCAGGTCTAAAGCCTGGATAATCTATGTCTGATCATTAGCATTACCCACAGAGACCTGACCTGCTCCATCCATCACACCAACCTGCTCTTCCCTGTCTGACCTCACTCTCTCCAGCCACGCTATAGCTCCTCTCCTTTAGCCTACTGCTCCACTTACATTAAGACCTGCAGGTCAACTACTAATATCACAGTCTCGTTTTGTGTTTTGCAGACACACATTTTTTCTCACACGCTGCACGGCGAAAACAAAACGCTCAGATCAATATTTAGCTGAGAATGCTGCGCGAACCGAGTCAGCACCAAGACCCGAACCCTACAGTTAAAAATACATGCGACACTTCTTCAAGAAAACGGTGCTGGACTCCTGATGATCGCTGCAACAACAAAAGATATAAAGATAAATCCCTGCAGGGTGTTTTCAGTTGTGCTACTTACCTTCAGGTTTCTCTGGTGTTGATTCATTGAAGAATGTCGGTCAAATGCAGTTGAGTTGCAAAACGAAACACCAGCGTGTCTCTCCACTCTCTTTCTCTCTCTCTCTCTCTCTCTCTCTGGATCCAGTGCAAGGAGGGAGAGATGCTGCGGACAGGAGGAGGAGGAGGAGGAGGAGGTGGAGCGGTGCTGATGCTGCAGCCGACACCTGGCAGAGCGTCCTCATGATCAGGCGCCCGGGCTTCTCTCTCTTTCAACACATTGGCGCCCTCTGCTGGATTATGTGGGAAGTGTAATGAAAAGTCCTGTCTATAAAATACATAGATTTCATAGAACATTGGTTATCAGAGATATTGGATGTAAAATTTAATTTTAATGCCTCAATTTGTATATTACAGGAGATGTTACATGACACTGTAAGGTATCCACAGAGTTGGTGTGCTCTTTTTTTTTACTGTATTAAAGAAACTTATACTCTAAGATTGGGAATCCACTCACCCTCTTACACTGATTCACTGGAAAAATTAAATGTTTACTAAATATTATTTGAATATGGGAAAGACAATAGCAATGGAAATGAACAAATTAATTTGAAACATATGGGGAAAAATATTACAAGCACTGAGTACATGAAAAAAAGGGGAAAAGTGGTCAGTGTACTCAAATCTGATTTGAGGTTTTGTTTTGTTCTACTTCCTTTATTTATCTTTATTTTTTTTAATTCTTTTTTTGATGCAGTTGTTGCAGAGGGATAAGTGGACAACAATGCCACTTTAAATATAATTATTGGTTACAATATAAAAGATCTTTTTGTTTTTGAGTTTATAAAGTCTTGTTTTGTATTTTTTTTTAAGATTGTGTGTCTTAATTTTGTGATGATAGAAAGTGTTTATTGTATATAATGAAAAATAAAAATAAAATCTTATTTAAAACAAAAAAAAAGATCAGTGGATTTCAAAGCCAAAAGACACTCGAACATGTCTGGATGTTAAAAAGGTCATTTTATTTACAGGAGCAAGTGAAACATACAAACACTTGAACAAAAAGACAAACAGACGACAAGGGGACAAGAAGATAGTGAGCGCCGATATGGTGACATTGATATGAAAGTTTTTATGTGTGGGATTTTTGTTTGATTGGGTTTATGTTTTTCTTCCTAGAAAAAAAAAATTATAATATAATAATAATAATCCATGATTTTCTCAGATCCTCTTTCTTAGTACCTCTGGGTCAGGTCGTTCCTAATAATACCAGCAAATGGCGCCAAACACAGTTAGTGTTTCTCAAAGTCAAGGATCCTTTCTTGGTAGGACGAGTCTTTCCAAGAAAGGATCCTACATGTTGGAACAGGTTAACGAGTGTCCTCACGTGTGCGTCATTAACCCTCAGCAGACTGAGGAGGTTTCAGGATACTGTGATAATTTTGACGCTCTCTGATTTTGTTGTACAGTTTGAGATTCATGTGAATTTTAGGAGGAATATATTTCAGGATGACACTTAAAAAAAACACGTACACTAAGAATCGTGGGTACTTTTACCTGCCGAGGATACATACATGTAACCTTGACAGAAAACCCAGTTTATAGTGGCCTATTACATGTATAGGCTACAGGTGCCTGAAAATATACAAAACATCAGAAAAAAAAACATAACTCAAAGCCCATTTAATAGCTTTTTATGGAGCTTTCAGCTGCATCTCTTGGTCTTCTTCAGCAGATGTAGTTGTTGGCAACTGAGCTGCCTCCATCTGATGAAGAAGGTTGTGGGATTCGACTGAAAGCTCCATTAAAAAAAACCCTAATGAGGCCAGTTATGAATAACAAAACAAGAACCCCTGATGTCACCCACATATACAGACTATTATTTGTGCTTTTTTTCAACATTAACACACTATTGAACACACTGTAATCCAACAATGACCACAGAAAATGCAAACAAAACAGGGGAGTAAAGTCTGAGAATGTGATGAAATCACAGCTGAATGCCATAAACATGAAGCCATCATCAACATCACATCAAAAGCCTGATAATGTGACACATGTAATGTAATTGGAAAGATAAAGACCGTTGATTTTTAAAGCATCAAAGGGAAAAAGAAGAAGCTCCTTCTTTTATCTGTTTATAGGCCTGTATGTGTAGCATTTATTTCAAAGGTAAACACTAAGGTTTGGCATGACGTGAAGGATAAACAAGTACTGATTATGCCAGAAGATAGACTTTTTAAAATACACATGAATCCCTTTGTATGTTTTAAACTTAACACGGAGACTTTAATTTAAAACATTAATCAGTTATATTGTTGTTATACTGTTATGTCATACTGTGCGTAGGCAGCTTCCTATTAATCATATAAAGTTAATATGCTTTGACTTCCTGTGTATCTGCATTCTTGTAATCCTGGATTTCAGTGTAATTACTTTGTGTAACAACTCAGCAAGATATATTAATGTGTTGGGAACACAAACTACAGAAAGCTCTAGAAAAATCAGCCATGCATATTTGATCAAAGTGATACTTGTCACAAATTATTATTACACGTCTACTACAGCCCAGTATGACCCCCAAAATCTCGTTTCTGCCACAGTCATGCTGATATCCTGTAGTTTAGTGTTTTATTACAGTGGTGGAAGAAGTATTTGTATATTTTACTCAAATAAAAGTGTGTAAGTATTATCAACAACATGTGAAAAGTAAAAGTAAAAAGTTTCCTGCCAGTGTTTTACCATTATATATGATGTTTTTTGATTAATATTACCACTGCATTAATGTGTATGTTTCATTTTACTTCTATAGATGTGCACGTGTGGTCATTTTAACTCCTTTATACACTGTTGGGTAGTTGAATCTACAGCAATGCATTGTTGTCTGTAAGTTCATCATATATTTATGGTGTCGCTGTCTTGTGAGAAGAAGTAAAATGTATTTTTAACCCCACAAGGAAAACTATATTCTTTACTTTATTTAAAAAAGATAAAATAAATCACCAAATATGGAGATACACGGTTTTCACTGGACAGGAAGGGTATGAAAAATTATCTGAAAAGAGCTCTGAGATGTACCGGAGTAGAATTATTCTGTGCTTAAGTACAGTACTTGAGTAAATGTACTTAGTTACTTTCCACCACTGGTGTTATTCCAACAATTGTTTTTATTAATGAGGCATCAATGGTTAAGAAATGACAAAAGAAGGTGAAGGCAGCGACTTTTCCAACCCTGAGGATGAAGTTTTAGTTGCACTGATCATGTAAACACAATATAAGGAGCACAATATCAGATACAAACAGGGCAACATAACATAAGCCTTTTCTCCAATTTACAAATAATTTACTACAAGAAATATAAACAATATCTTATATACACAGTCTTGATTACACGTGTCTACTTATAGACAGGTACATTGTTGTAAAGGATTCCCAAAACAGCAGTTAATGCATTGAAAGGCTAAAACTAACAGACCTGCATTTAAATGACGAATTAAACTTTTGTCACACCGTCTCTAGAGTCTGTTTACACATCTTGTGGATTACTACTGCATTAAAGTTGCGTTTTGTTGTGGCTCAAGAGGAAGAGGCATAAAGTCTGATGTAACTTGAGTCAAAGTTGGTTAGGTCTGAAGACAAATCTGAAAATATAGATAATTGAAATTGAATTCAAAAATGAATAGCTACATAAGCCACCACTACAAGCATAACACACCCCAATTTCCAACTGATCTGTTGGAAGCTGAGTTGCATTGTGGGTAATGTAGGCACCATGAGTGAAATGATACACTTTTTTTATGTTTATGAAAAGAGAAAAATATCTAAACGCATTAGACATTTTAATGAAAAGAAACAAATTTTAAAAAATTTATGTAAATAAATGTACAAGTGTGGCGAATTCTTCCGGATCATATTTTTCATAGGCTTTAACTTAATTATAAATATTAAGCCGAGTCAGAGTCCTAATCTCAAAAGCACATTGGAAATGAACATCTTTTAGGAAGTGGGTAATAAAAAGACATTAATAAACATGAGAAAAGGTCTATATAAACTGAGAACAAATACATTCTTCCAAATTGAACATGAGAAAAAAAAGATCGGCCTGACTTCTTCTTTTTTTTTTAAAGACAAGCTAAATGTTACAAGTTACAGTTGCAAAAAGACACAGCAGCCAGCACTGTGAAAATCCACTATCATCTAATGTTACATGGCGTTAACTGACATTCAGCAGCTGTCACTGTCTTCACCTGATACTCAACATTTGCCGGATATCAGACACAATTGCCAACTCGTTACACTCCGTGTCCATCTTCAGTCTGACCTTGCCTCCACTCCAAGTGTTTCCCGTGGGGAGGGGGATTGGACTGTCTCCTAACCAATTACTAGAGACCAATGTATCCACCTGAATCTAAGGTCACCTTAAGTCCAAACTGATGCGTCGCCATGCCAGCATACCGGTTTGGTTGGAGTGGGGCGGCAGTGAGGTATATCAAACCACGATTTCAGGCAGTATTGAAAGCAGCGTCTATCTTGTCTAAAGTAGTCGCCATTGTGATCACTCCACATTGGTTCTGCCGCACAGCTTGACGATGGTGCCGGCATTAGTCCCGCCTATGGTGCTGACTGGCTAATCATTAGTCCTCACTGGGTCCTTTTCAACGGAAAAACTGCTGTTTCATGAGGGTGGATTCAAAGCTCTGGAGTCAGGCCAGCTCAACTTATATCAGGATTCACAAACCAGATTCCACCTATTTACCATGGGCATTAAATATGCCAAATAAGAGAGCATATTTTCACTTTGAGAAATTTAAAATGTTCCTGTCAGGCTTTAGACACTTCCTCTGAATCGCTGTGTCTCAGAGTAATGAACTGTCCAACAGGATACGTCGTTAAGTGTCTTGGTACAGACATTTCAGCATCATCATTTGCAGCCAGATCCAAGGCTTGTGACTGACGGTATCAATGTAGTCCTTCGGATTTAAAATTAGACTCATGGAAACTGTAAACTACAGCTCCCTGCTGGCCAGCTTGTACTGTATGCACAGCCATTGGCCCGACCACCCTTTTCTGCTAGTGAACACAGGGAATTATGTCACAGACAAGCGTGTTGCAGTGTATTGTGCAAGCTCTCACTCGTCTGGGGGACTGTTAGAGCAGCATTTCAACATCAGTTACATAAGAGTTGGCAGGTTTATGAGAATGTAGCTAATGGTACCAATCTGTATGAAATACATATTGTGTTATCTGATTTTCAGAATCATTTATATATATATATATACAGTAGATATGTTTTCATAAACAGAAAGACAAGAAAATGTATTACTGTTGAACATTCTGGCATCCAGACGAAAGCTGTTACACATGTGCGCATAGTCCTACTGCCAGCAATGTACTCTTACCCAGACCTCAACTTAACCTCCCTGAAACACTGAGATGTTTTGTGTCTCCAGCATGAGCCCTTCCCCCTCAGACAGCAAAGTGATAACAAGCAGCTGAAGCTCAAGGCCAAACAGAAGGGGTAACAAGCTTATTACAAAATACTCGAATAACAGAACATGTCTATTATGGCTAAAGAAGTGCCAATATGCCACTTTTCTGTTTTCTGCCTGGCAGTCAAGGGTGAGAGTCACAGGTTTGGGGATTTTAGGTCAAAGTTATTTATTATTGCTTTGTCCAAACCGGAGTGCTGCCAGCAAGGGGAGTCGTCCAGTCGAAAATAATACACACACAGACTGGTGTCAGGGGAGTTGGAAATGTACACAGCATGTTCTAATGCAGTCTACAAATCTCCATCGTCCTCGTCGATGGCATCAATGCCGTTGTGCAGGAAGGCCTCCTTCTCTGGTGACATGGCCTCTGAATTGTGGTCATGTTTGAAACTGTCCATCTCTGTTTCTGGAGATGAGCGGGCCAGAGCGGCCTCAGCGCTGTGGTGAATGCCATAGCAGAAGTAGATCACAAAACCTGGAGAGGCAGAGCAAGACATGCTTCAAAACAATTCCTGCTTGCAACTGTTTTACCACAAAATGATGACATACGAATGCAGGATTTATACTTCTGCATCGCATTGACGCCAAGCCCCATGTGTAGTCCGACGAGCACCTCCACAGACGCAGACCTCCTGTCTATTTTTGTAAGCTGAAACCATTTCCCTCAGTGGAAACAAAGCTTTTATTTGCTTTAATTTCACAGATAAGAAACAATAAATTGTGGAGACAATAAAGCCTGCACAAAAATAGCATTTTAAGTCTTGTGTGTGAGTTATCATTCTGGGATTTATACTTCGGGATTTGTCCTGGCTTCATATGAGCAGAGGAAATCTCCGCTCGTTGCTAGGCTAATTTATACCATGTAAAATGCCATAGGCTTGTGCCAAAATTTGTGGGAAAAATGTTTCCAGATGAAGACAAGTGCTTTGTCTGTGAATGCTGCGAGTTACAGTGAAGCCGATGTGTGTATTTGTGTTTGAAATTGTTGCTATTACGACATGTTTAAAGTGTGTTTTGGGTGTGTTTTGAATCAAATAATCTTCACAGTGCTTCACAGAAACCCTGCTGCTAACCATTGTTTTGGAGGTGTAACTACAGAGTGACACAGACACACCACCTCACAAGTATAAATGCTTAGGCTACGTGTGCAGGCTACTTAATGGTCACCATGTCAGACTGCTCATTTCAAGCCACTAAAGCCAGTTTAGTTTAAACGCTGGAAACACTACCTACCTAGAGCCATCCAAACAGAAAATCGTATCCAAGTGCCTCTGTCCAGCTGCATCATCAGGTACACATTTACAAACATACTGATCACTGGAATGAAGGGCAGCAGTGGAACCTAAAGAGTCAAATATAAAAAAGGAAACGTGGCAACTTGTGTTAATGCAAAAATGATGTGTTTTCAAAAATTTCAAAATCTAATCCAGACTATCCTACGTAGATTTCGTTTCTGGAATCAAACCTTGAAGGAGAGTTTCGTCTTGCTTTCAGGCTGTCTCCAGATGATGAAGGTGAGGAGGAGACACACCATGAAGATGACACTGAGGGCTATGACGTTCCACACAGCAGTGCCCCCCTGCACTGCCAGTACACTGAATGCCAGGATTAATGTTCCTGCAGAAGTACATATGTTTTATATCACTGCATGTATTACTCTACAAGTGCCAATTCTAATTCAGCATTCAAGACTAAATGAATTATCTGGATTCAAAGCAAATTAAGTCTTTTGTCAGCTTCTTCTAACACATTTAAGTAGCCCTGGTATGATCCATTACCCAACATAGAGGCACAGATGTTGACAGAGAAGCCCGACAATGTGGATGGTTCAGAGTTGTCTGGGAACAGGAGGGTCTTGACACTGAACTTCTCCTCCATACCGGGCAGCATGCCCATACTAGGGACACTGATGCCATCGCTCAGCTCCCCCTCATCCTGGGTATTGGCCATCTGATACACAAGAGAGGGCTGCTCGGGCTGGTACCTGACACAATCAAAAAAAACATGTAGTTGTGACTTTACTCTGTATTCACATTACTGAAAAGAGCTAATGCAGTGATAAGATGCACCTCTTGCAACATTAATGCACAATGTTTATGAGTAATGTCAATCATACTGAAACATCAGCTGCAGCCACATGTTTAGCAAGGGCAATTAAAGTTGTAACATGTGGCAGTGAATTTATGAAGTATGAAACTGCTTTGAGCAAGAATGCAGTGCTGAGTTTCATTGGTTGCTAAAAGGAGATAAAAACATATGTGGCAGCGGGAAGGTGGTGATGAAGTGTTAAGTCTCTCAGCTTCAAGCTGGAACAACTCCAGCATTGAACTCTGCTGCTCTGAACCAGTGTCCCTGGTTAAACTCTATATACTTATGTCCCACACTGACCTCAGAACCAGAACACAGGCAGCCACTAATGTGTAGGCCAGCAGGGTCCCTATTGACATCAGGTCCACCAGGTCCTTCAGGTCGAACAGAAATGCCATGATAGCTTCACGGAGCAAGAAAATGAAAAGAGAGTTGGAGAGATTAGATGTGTTTGATTGTAAGACCCTTTGTTACCATAAAATAATTTGAGAGGACTATAATGTGTTTTTAAGATGGTCATCTAGCTCCCATAAACATGTTTAGGGTTTCAAGTCTTATGTTTTCTTTTCCTATTTTTTTATTTTAGCTACGCTACAAAGCTAACACACTGAACTAAGTAATGGATAAGCAGCTGTTTCACTGTTGCTATTTGTACTCTTTATTAGCATTCAACACTGACTGCTGGCAGAGAGCTCAAAGGTGATGCACATTGTACTTTCACATCATCTCATACAGTCCTATCCTTCACGTTATGCCCCGCCCCGCCCCTCTTAGTCCCCCACTCTCCCTCCCTCTCCTCAAATACAGGCCTCTGTTTTCCTTAACCGTCCCTGTTGCGGATTTCCTATTCATCTTACCAGACATAACCCCGGCGGACACAGTGGACGTTATGGGGGATTTCCTCTCGCTGACGTGGGCCAGACAGGAGAAGAGCAGGCCATCCCGAGCCATGGCAAAAATGATACGGGGTAGGGGGAACATGGAACCCAACAGACTGGGGAGTCGGGTGGGGGAGGAAAACATCAGAGTGGGATGACAGATGTAGGTGAAGTGAAGAGGAACAAATGAAAAGGGAAGAAGTAAAGGAGGTCAGTAGGGGAGAAAGGAGGAGCATTAGTAAAAGGAGACAGATACGGCTGGCAAGATAGGGGTTGCGGGTTAGGGTGCGGAAACCGGACACCAGGCTAGCCACACTGTAGAGCAGTGTGGGCATGATGTTGGACCAAGGATATTTGAATGTCAGCATGCAAAATGTTTCCCATTTAAATAGCAAATAGGGTGCTCCTCATGCTGTTACACTCTGTTCCCATTTAAAAATTGTTGGTTACTTCAGCGAGCAGTTTAGTTTGCTATTTATATCCCTGCTTACACCACCAAGATGCAGGTAGAGAAATTAAGTCTCCTTGAGTTCACCAAATAAAACAAGTCTAGCCACTGACCCATGTTAGAAGAAGGACAAAGTATAACCTGGACTGCCTCAACCAATTACAAAGAGACCTGGCCACGTGAGACAGAGGATAAGAGACAGTTAGTGATGCTCTTTTCCTGCTGGAGTGCTGATTTCTGTCAGGTTTCTTTAAAACAAAATTAAAATAGAATTTGCAATCGGCAGGTCAGAGCGTTTGCAACCTGGCGCAGCTCAGCCCAGCAGCAGGAAAAGAGGCTTCGTTGAAATTGGATGCTCTTTAAAAACATGCGTGTTAGTGTCTCACCTGCCCCTATGCCAGAGGTGAGGGTTGCAGTTAGCGGGGTTTTGGTGCGGGGGCTGATCTCGGCCATGAACTTGAAAAGCAGCCCATCGTCGGCCATAGCCCAGATCACACGAGGCATAGGGAACATAGCACCCAGCAGGCTACCAGGGGGGGAGACCAGGATATATAGTATCCACACTTACACCCACAAGAATGCCGTGAAACATACATGAACAGAGACACCAGCTCACAGATACAAGGAACATCATACAGTACATTTACATGACATAATATACAGCAAGAATAGTGGCATGCAGGAACATGTTTAATATCAAAACAAACCTTAAATATACTCCATAATTATATTATAATTATTGATCAAAGCAACTGCCATTAAAAACAAAAGTATGTACCATCATTATAAAACCATTAAAAACTGATTACTAATAAAAATGCAGTTTGCAGTGGCCTTTGGTGACACGAGTTACATAAGTGCATGCACTGATGGTACAATATATTCTTAGCAGTGCTCTTATTTTTAGTCAAGGGATCAAATGCCTTCTGAAGTTAAATATACAGTCACATAGTGCCACACGCACGCGCACACACACAGGAATGGTTATGTGTGTGCATGTCTGCATGCTTATCTGACAGAACTCGAGTACATGAGCATGCATTTAAAGCTGATGGCAGACGAATGCAGGTGTGTGTGTGTGTGTGTGTGTGTGTGTGTGTGTGTGTGTGTAACTACTTACCTCGTAGACAGAGCACAAAGAGAGCCTACAGCTACGGCGTATTTGGCTCCTCCCCAGCCCACATAGTTAAAGGCTACAGGCAGGGGGCTTTTGCTGTCCAGCAGGTAGTAGGGCATCATGAGGGTGAGGGCTGCAGAAACACCAAAGTATGCTACAAAGCAGATGAGCAGCGAGGATACGATGCCAATGGGGATGGCTCTCTGGGGGTTCTTCACCTCTTCACCTGGAGCGTAGTTGAGGAACAGACACGGTTATACGGAAGAAAACGCTTTACTTGTGTTTTACTCCACCAGATGCGGAGGTTTTGTTCACTAAAAGCACTTTCTGCCTTGCATGGGATGCTAAAAATATGTGCTTTCAAACAATAGACAACAAGACAAAAGTGTAATACATTAATTTGAGAAGAAAAAATGGCTCTGTTTTTCTAAATTAACGAGATTATTTCAGAACTCTCCAAAAAGTTTTTATGAAAAAATCCTGCTCTTGTTTCTCTAAATGATTTGTGATCAATTTCTGGTCGATTAAAAAAAAACATGATAATTATCCTGTTTATTTAGAAAACAAGAATTAACAAGATTATTACCTCTTTAATTGAGAAAACCAAGAACTGACAACATTTTCCCTTTTACTCATAAAAATGAGAATTAGCAAGATTACAATCTAGTAAATAAAAAACATTAATTAACAAGAAATATATTATCTTATTAACTTAGAAAAACAAGAATTAACAAGAGTATCTTGTATATTCAGATAAACAAAGGCAGATTTTATTTCCATTAAAGCTTTTCTTAGTATTCTCAGATTATAATCTTGTTATTTTTAAAAAAAATTGAGAATAAACATCTCCTAGTAAATATAAAAAATTAACAAGGGCAATATTATTACCTCATTAACTTATAAAAACAAGACTTAATGAGATAATTATATTGTAATTTAGAAAATTGAGAATTAATGAGAAAATCTAATTAATACTAAAAAACATGAGTAGAATTTTTTTCCATGAAAAGTTTTCTCATAATTCTGAGGTAATAATCTTGTTAATTCAGTAAAGCAGGACAAATATTTTTTTCATAAGTGAATGTACAATACAGATAATGACAAAGCACATTTTATTTCTGTCAGACACACTGACGCAGAACTATTTACTGCCTCTAATTTTGGAGACTATCACTGTGCAACAACATCCTCCCGCAACCCCATTTACCACTGTTTGTTGGTAAAACTAACTATTCACACTTGAACGCACGGTTTAAGCGGACTATACACACCATTCACTCTGCGATGGTTGTTTTGGCAGAATCCCAGTAAATGTGGAAAATTGAGAAAACAGCTGTATTAAAGAAGCATTTTTCCGTATTTTGCAACAAACTGAACAAGGAGCTTATTTTTCCTGTGAAAGACTCAAACACACAACTATTCAGCTGCAGGTGATTATGCAACAGAGCTTCTCAGGCGAACACTCACATCCTGTTCGGCAGTGAAATCACATTGCGATGATTGATCCTGAATCCTCTCTCCACCACTGTTCATGACAAGCGACAGCTACTCATCGGCCCAGAAACAGTGGTAACAGCTGTGTGGATGTTTGTACGCCTGTGTTTGCATATGTGCTTGTGGACAGGGGACGTAATGATACCGTCATTTCAACTTAACTCTAGGTAGCCAGAATACACACACACATACCCACTGAGGGTATAATGGCCTAGGGCTGGCTGACTTTGTGTGTGACCAACATGTCCCCACAAGCCAAACTCAAGCAATCATTCAGGATCAGCCTCCCGCTAGCCAATTAGAATTCAGGAAACAAAGGGGTGGGAAAAGCTGGGGGGCAAGAGAGCCGGAGAACTAGAAAAAAACTCCCCTTTTTTCACAATCCAGAGGCCTTGAACTGATTAAACAGAACGACGTGTATCAAGAAACAGGTGTAGATCTGCACAGTGTAGGAAAAACAAGGGGAACGTGTTCTCCACAAACCTTATATCATGATTACGCCCCTAACCTGGGTCACAGTGCTTTACATTCCACACAGAGCAAAACTGGGCCAAATGCACAAAACTGCATCTTTTCTCTCTGCCTTGCCCCTCTTATGTAACACTCCTGGATGTTTGGACAAGCTTGGGATTGAAATGGCCCAGACTCCAGATTCAGTTACAACAACCCCCCACCCCCACAAAAAACTGAAACATGCCCATGAGGCCGCAGAAGGGATATGAGAGGTGGAACAAGAGGAAAGCCTGGCTAGCAGAGTGAGTGTTTTCTGATTCCTTCCAGCGCTTACCTGTGGTGGCGATGCAGTCAAATCCAACAAAGGCATAGAAGCAGGTAGCAGCTCCTGAAAGGACACCTGTGAAACCAAACGGCATGAAGCCGCCCACTCCTAATATCTCTTTGCTTGGCAGGGTTTCTGTCAGACTGAACAGGGAAAAATAAAATGCAAAAAAAATGTAACTTTATTTAATGACTTGTTTAAGCTATGTGGATTATCCAGAGAAACTGAGACCAATTAAGTTATAAAATGCAATATCAAATATAACACAACACACAATGAGTGCGTTTATGTCCATGTTCTTACTTGAGGCTGGAGTTACTGGTATAATTGGCATGAAGGATCTCTTCAGGGTCAAGCTGCCAGTTCTTTAAAGTGCCTTTGACCAGGCCAGAGACGACCATGAACAACAAGACCAGGATGTTGATACACGTAAACACCTTGTTTACCATTGCTGACTCTTTGACCCCAAATGCCAGCAGACCTTAGAAATGGAAAGGAAAATGAAATTTCTTTTGGAGGAGACTGGACTGGAAAGGCAATAAATTCAACCTATAACACAAATTTTGTAATTAGATTTGTAAAGTAAGTATATTTAGTAAATATGTGCCACTGCAGTCATAGGTGCCATGGGTGCTAGAGGCCTGAGACTCTGCGGAGAAGCCTGTGCACCCACATGCACCAGCGTACAATTGGGGCAAAATATAAATCAATTTGATCAGCTACAAGGAGCAACACTTTCATTGTAAGAGAGTGAAAACATCGATTTAGTAGCTGCCTGGGCCAATGTGTTAATGAGTAATTCAATTTTAATGCATGGGCTTGTATGCTTTCTTTGCATGTCTAACAACATTTGATAGCCTATTATAACTTGTATGGCACAATTAATAGGTGGGCGCCTAGTAGCGTGTATTGTTACATTGCATTCTTAATGGGTGTATTACAGCAGTGGTGGTGTCAGACTTTTGGAATGTGCACTTGGCCTATACTTTATGTTCATGTCAGCCATTTTACTAAATATTTCGGTGGCATTGATTACTACTTTGCTTGTATTTCATGGCGTGCATTGTAAGTTAAACTTCTGGTCTCCTGTGTGTGTGTGTGTGTGTGTGTGTCGCTCGTTGCTGTTCATTTTCTAAGGTGCTTAAATGTATGTATTTGACTACTATATCCAAATCTGAATAGACAAGTCATGTAGGCTGTGATAATTGCAGAAGGTTTATCTTAGATGTGGGGATGGGGCATTCAAGTGTTTCGAACACCCACTGGCAGAAACATAAATCAGCACCCATGACTGCAGCAATGTCAACTGTTACAAAAGTTCAAGGTTGAGACACTGCATGCTGCCAAAGATAAAGCATGCTCTAACAAAGTGATAACACAAGAGAGGGGGGCAAAAAGAAACCTGTTTTCCTACCTGTTAAGGTGATTATAATGACAACAGCAAACATGTCAGGGTACTGTGCTAATACACCCGGTGCATTCATGGACATGTACTCTCTGCAGAACTGCTCGATGCGCTTCCCTACCAACTCGTCGAAGGTAGCGCTCCATGCTCGGGCCACACTGGAGGTACCTGAGGTGGAGAAAGAACAGCTGAGGTAGATTATGTGGTGCGTGTGCTTTTGGTTGTCTTGTTGCACCCTCTCATTCTGTTTCTCTATGTGCATTTGGACACAAACATCTAGAAGTAAACAACATAGTAGTAAATGCGTCATTTTTACCAATGATATAGGAGAGGATGAGGTTCCATCCAGTGATGAAGGCCCAGAGTTCCCCAACAGTCACATAGGAGTAAAGATAAGCTGAGCCTGTCTTTGGGACACGGGCTCCAAACTCAGCATAGCACAGACCGGCTAATACTGAGGCCAGGGCTGCTATCAGGAAAGACAACACAATCGCAGGACCTACAGGGGAAATAATATATCACATGATTAGACTCTTTAAGATTTGGCTGGCATGACATCTTTTAATTGTTTGCAGTAATGTTAAAGGGATAAATCAGAAATACATATTTTTCCTCATACCTGTAGTGCTGTTTAGAAGTATTTTGGTGTGAGTTGCTGAGTATTGGAGATATCCGCCATAGAGATGTCTGCTTTCTCACCAATATAATGGAACTAGATGGCACTCAGCATGTGGCGCTCAAAGCACCAAAAAATTCATTTGAAAAACTCAACAGCGATGTCTCTTTCCAGAAATCATGACCTGGTTACGCTCAATAATCCACAGACCTTTTTATGAACAGTTTCATGTAGGAACTATTTTCTTTCCACCAAGCAACAGTCATCAATGCATCACCGTGCAGAGGAAAGCGTGCATCTACTGCTAACCCAATTAGCACAACTGATGAGGAGGCCATTAACGATTACGTCTTGCATTGTTGCAAGCACAAACCTTTCCTTCATGAGAAGATGCCCACTGCCTTTTATGTGGTGACGGGGTTGGCAGGTGTAGTTCAGTAGAAAGAAAATAGTTCACACATAGAACTGCTCACAACAAGGTCTGTGGATTATCTTGAGTAACTGGGTCATGATGTCTGGAAAGAGACATTGCTGTTTAGTTTTTTTAAATGCATTTTTTTGTTGCTCTGAACACCACAAGCCGAGTGCCATCTAGTTCTATTATATTCAAGGGCAGGCAGACATCTCTACGGCCGATATCTCCACCGCATGCCAACTCAGACCAAAACAGCCTAGACTGTCAATTAGCACTTCAGGTTTGAGCAAAAATTAGTTTTTTTGATTTTGGGGCAAAGTGTCCCTTTAACTTACCTGAATTCTCTCGTGCAACGGCGCCAGCCAGCACATAGACACCAGCACCCAGCGTGCTGCCCACGCCCAGGGCCACCAGGTCGAAAGTGTTGAGGCATCGGGACAGACGGGAGTCCTCTGTGTTACAGTCCACCACCTTCACCCTCAGCAACTGCTTCCCGAAACGCAGAAGCTTCTCCAGCGCCATGGATCACAGTCTGGCCTCAGGGAGGGGAGGGGGTGAAGGTTGACCGGGGTTCAGAGGTCGTGGGAGGGGAGGGGGAGAGGTCACACACAGCCTAATAGGAGAGAAAAGATAATGGACAGTTATTTAAGTGTCTAACACTTATAGTTGACTGGGGCGTTTTAAAAATAACACATAACTTTTTATTTTGAGTCTTTCAGTAAACACTGGTCGCGCTGTGGTCAAGTGTTGCACATCAGGGTTAAGGAGGCCAGCAAAGTTGGTGTAAGTAGAACACTGTTTCCTGGGGTGTTACATAATGCACCCCAAATCCACAATGTGTGACGGCTAGCCAAAAAAACCAGAGGCCTATAGGGATAATCCATCTTATTGCTGGATACGTCGCTGACATGTGTTACATAACACAACTCACAGGAGAGGAGGAGAAGCCCTCGAACAAACTGTTCAACACAAAGAGAATGATAACTCACGACAAAGAAAACACTTTCTTGAAACATGCCGTGGAGGCTCATCACATCGCATCACTCCTACACACAGCAGAGGGAACTAAACATACCAAGACTGTTATTTACCTCTGCTTTGGGTCAGACAGTGCAAACAAGGACAATCCATTATTGAGCAGCCAACGCAGTTTGAAACCTGCTACCCTCTCGAGGCAAAATGCAGCTGTAACACTTCTTTACCGAGTTGTTGGGTCAGAAGTCTGTCCAACATATCATGCACATTCCCCGGTGCTGAGCTCACAAACTGAGAGGCAATGCTGGATATTTGGAATGTGAAAAAAATATAGAGGCCAGACGAAGGAATGGGAAGGGGAAAGAAAGAGGGGAGGGGGTATAAACAATGTCCTGCTGCTATGTCAGTGAGGTTGTGGTGGTCTGGCAGAAGTCCAGAGGTATGTCCGACAGACCGGTGAATTAGGTCAGTGACATGCAGTAGCTTAACACCGTGACCCATTCTAAAATAATGGCGTCCCTCCACATGAGGGCATAAACCCAGAAAAGTCATGAGGACATTACAACAGTCATGTCACACCTCATGGAAGCTTCCACATGAGGGTAAGCTAAGGTGAAGACCTTGTGGCCTTTTTTTTCTTTCCAGAAAGCATTCAGGCTCAGATACAACTTTCCAACCTGGCCTATTCAACATCATATGACAAAAATATGTATTGCAGTGTTATAACATGCCCAGTGAATGTATTCATATACAGACTAAGCTTAAATTTGCAGTGGGAGAAGAACACTATATTCGTTTTCCCACAAAATCATCAAACACAGCTAAAAACACTACCCATACAGTCTAGTCTAGACTATTCTCTATACATTAAAAATACAAGCTTGTACATTAAGAGGAACTCTCCTATATTAAAAAGCTGTCTCAATACTCAAACCAACGCACTGCCACTGCTACTGAAACAATTTGCTTGTTGCAGCGTAATCAAGCTGGTATCATTACACAAGTCAGAGGACATTAAATTCAGCCTCTCCCACTTACAGCTGCTATTTGGTGTTGCAGAGGTCACTTTTGTCTGCACTGTCATTGATAACAAATGATGTTGCACAACAGCAGTAAGTCTCTCTGGATGTTTGTGAAAGAATTACACAGGTGCAGGCTTTCTTACTGTGTACCATTGTGATACTGCCCACTATTAGGAGCCTACAACTTGATGTGCCTTTTTACTAGAGGTAATTGATTGATCAATCAGCAATCTCCTAACCCATTGGCTACGAGATTGCTAATGGGTTACGAGATAATCTCGTAACCCATTGGCTTTCAGTCTGACAGCAATAAGCCTCTGGAGGTGACTGCCAGTATTTCGGAAGATCTGTTGTAGCCAGGCCCACAGGACGCACACCAGGCATTGAAGCCAATTTTCCAGTGGCCAAACAGTGTAATTGCACCATCATGTGATGCCCTGTGGCCAAAAAAACAAGACATGCATGGCGAAAGAGACATCTGTGAATCAGTGGATACATTTTTTGGAGCACCACAACCCCCACGGAACAATTTGTTTCACTATCAGAATTTGATCCATTCGGTCCGAAAACATTTGGAAAGTCTACGGGCCACAGCAGAGGCAGTTACACACACGAATGAACAGGGCTCTGCTTTCAGTGCTGTATCCAATTCTCTTTATACATCCATATCCGGGCCAAGACTCCCTCTACCATGCACTGGTATATGAATGCAGACTTAAAAAAAAGCTAATCTAAAGCTGAATCGCTGTCAGACATCGAGGGGGATAATAGGATTGACAATGACAATGTTATACATTTGCTTTGTTTGGAAGGCAATATTACTGCTACCAGCTTCTCAAGCATGGATATTTTATGATTTTCTCTGTCTTATGATAGTAAACTGAATATTTTAGGGTTTTGAATTGTTGGTGGACAAAACAGAACATCTGAAGATGTCACATTGGGCTTCAGGAAACTGTGATGGACACATTAAATTAAATCTATACATTTTATAGGCCAAGAAACACTAAAATAATTGACATATTCATATTTGTCAGTGGTTGCATTACTATTTTAAGACACATCTTATACAAGATAAGTGTATACATTAGAGCTGCTAGTGCAGTATGGTGTGTTTTGTTACATATGGTATAGAGGTTATTGTAATGACATGCATCTGCAAGTAATTGGATGTATGGATACTTCTTAGAAATAATGTCACCCAAGTTCCTCCTAAATACTATACAATGGCACTTTTCACATTATTCAAGCATGCAATCACATTATGAATGTAACTGCATGCTTAACAAGTGTAAACATTAAGAAATATCTGTATTTCATTCATCTGTTAACAAAAAAACTATAATGGAAACAGCTATTGCTCAAATAATTCATGAAATTACTGGACCAAACCAGCAGCAGTAAGACCGCTGAGCTCCTGCTTGCTGTATATTATTATTCCACCCAGATAAATAAGTAGCTGATTACTGCAATAGCTCGTGTGCCACATTATTGTAAAACCCGGGAAGGTCATTAAAAAAAGCTTACAATGAAAATGCTATTCAAATATATCCAAGGGTAATCATGAAGCGCTTACAGGAATGGACACACACGTGCATGCACATAAACGCAGGAGAATGTAGCCTATACGAACCACACAACCCCTCACTGATCTGGGTACACAGTTCAGCACACTTCAAATAATCCAAATAATGACACCTCAGACAGAATGATATGTGACTGTTCCAAACATATGTTAGAAACAGGAGGAACAATGAAATACACACAATGTCTATGCTGCAGATCAATGTCTAAATGGCAATAAAGCTATTCCCACATGGCAGAATGAGAAAACACATGGAGTACTTACTTGAAACCACCTACAGATACGCTTCAGCTGTTGATCTGAGTGGAAAGTTATAAGAACGGTGACAGATTGAGGGATTAAACCACGTATTTGTTAACTATTCTTCAAGCTGCGGTGAAGACTGCAGAGCGTTTGACGGCAGCCGTTCTGAAATAGAATCTGGAGGAATCACATGGCTTGGCTATTCCAAGCGGCACGCGCGCACACACACACGCATGTACACACAAGCACGGTCAAAATGCAGCAGTAGTTGGCTGACTGAGAAAACCTTAGCAAATGTATTTTTACAGTAATATCCCTGGATGCCTGTAGACTCTTATATAATCACAGTTCAGCTGCATGAATGTAAACAGTCACAGTAACACAGTTTATCTACACAAGCAGCAGCTTTTTTTGCAACAGAAATGTAACTCAGAAAGCTGCAGACAAGCCTGCATGCTTGCACTTAAATCACTCATGCATCTAAGTCCATAAACTCATACACGCGTGCTTTGAATTCACTGTATTTGCACTGTATCTACATAATAAATAAGTACAATAACCTTGCAAAATTCAGGCTTTAGAAAGCATGGCCCCTTCTTATCTCAGTGTGCACGCACATTCACACATATAACTGACACACTGTCGGTTTAAAAGAGTTTTGGCAGCGAGTGCACAGCAGATGAGGTGTGCAGAAAGTAGAGGCAGTGCCCGTTTGTGGGAGAGAGTGGATGAGGAGGAAAGGGGGGTGTGAGCCTGTAGAACCAATGACCGTAGACCATAAATGTGAAACTGCTTGACATTTAGAAGAGCTAATAGTCCTTTTCAAAACCTGCAAAATAACTGGATTTATATGAAATAATTTGATAAAGTGCATCTCTTAAAAACAGCAGTAATATAGTCTTTTTGTAAGTCGCTCTGCCACTTCTGAAGTGAAAATGTATAATCTATGTTCTTTAAGATTTTGTTCACTGTGCTTGTGGACTGTTTTCCTGTTTCTGTGTCATTCAGTTCAGCTATAAGCAACTGCTCACATGCATGCACTCACTATAGGCATCCAGCTAACTGAATGGAATTGCTTTTCTGGCGGTGGGTTCACTGAGGAGAAAGAACGGCATGCAACAGCAGAGCCTTGACTGCTACTTGTTGACATTTCCCATATGTTCCTGTCCAAGTGCATCATGATGCAACACTGCTCTGCTGTTACTGGTAGACATCACTGTATTAAAAGCATAACTCCTCAAAGAAAAGTCTATCAACATTATCAATATGTGAATCCTTGTTGTGTTTGTCCTGGTGTGGTCAGCTAACATACACAGATTTGATCTTTTGGTCTGGTGCATGTAAACGAAGTGATGTGTTGCTGTTTTACTGACCGCGTAATCACCTTCTGTCAGGAACAGGCAAAGTCATGGGCAGCCAAGATTTGACCATACAAAACAAGAAAAGGATTCATAGTCACGCTTAAAGCAAAACTAAGAACTTACTAAGAGGCACAAATAGCAATGTGCCCTTCATGTACCTAAACACACAACAATCCCACTCGTCCTCTTCCCTGACGCAGACCAGAGAAATAATCACATATTTTAGGAAACAAAAGATTGACCCTTTACCTCCATTATGTTCCACTACGTAAATAGTAGAGCACAGAAGGCTCTTTATTCTTTGAACAAACAACATGGGGACTTACAAATGTATGAAAGAAAGAAAATGTACTTATATCTCTGTTTAACACTGGAGTCTCTTTGTTTACTGTTTGCTGAGAATTTGAGCAGAATAATCGTCAGCAACAACTGAAGATCTGACACATCTGGGATATATATATATATATATATATATATATATATATATATATATATTTACTAGAATATTTTAGCTCCCCAGTTTTTAAAATTGAAAGCCTATAATATATTAATTTGAACTTAACGGATTCCCCTGAGAGAATATTTACATATTTGGTACAGTAAAATAGGAATACAACAAGAAATTGGGTATTTCAACATACCATACTTCTGTGGTATGGAGGATGGAAGCTATCAAAACAAAATAAAAATATACATAAATAAAGAGAGAGAAAGAAAGAAAGAAAGAAAGAAAGGGGGAGTGATGCAAATTAAAATAATTCAGAAATAATTAAATGAATAAATACAAACATAAATAAATATCCAAATAAATACATATGAAAATAAATAAATAAATAAAAGGGAATATTAAATAGGAAAGTAAATAAATAGGGTAATTAATAGTATGGTAAAGAAATATGTAGCAAATTAAGACAGAAATATCAATACATGTCAAATTGGATCAATTAATTAATGCCTACATTTATTTATAATAAATAAATAAATAGATAACAATAATAATAATAATGATAATAATAATGATAATATTTTTTCTATATATTATTTTGGGCCACAAAATGGCATGTTAATTTATTTATTAAGTCACTGATTTATTTATTTATTTTGGCAGCGTATGTCCTCCTTAGTGTACATTTGTATTCAGATATTGTGTATATTCTATTGTGACAGTTCATTCGAACACAGTGCAAGTCAGTTGAATGTTTGACAATAAAAAAGCTGGTACAGGGCATCACTGCTCATTGAATACAAAGTTCACTTTCAGAATCTCAATCTGTTTCTATTCCTGTAGCTGAATACTTTCCTAAGCATAAAAAACACGGTGGTTATTGCTATTACCTAACATCACAATAAGCCCCTGATCCATGTTTTGTACACACTGCAATCTATTTACTGCAGCTACAACTGCTTACATTTCAACGTCAACGCCACAATCCATCATATGCAACTTGTTTCATCGTGACTCTGAGTGTAAACAAAAGACTACACACTGTTCAGAGGATATATAAGTTATGCTTGTTATATAGGCAGCTGAACATGTAGACTGGAAAAAAAGCAAGAGGAAATATGAAGCTCTTGCACCTCTAGAATCTCAGTGAACCTAAAAAGCTTCCACACACACCCTTCCATGCATTTGTATAGGCTACATACAGCCCTGCTGTCAGCAACTGACACACTAGTGACCCACTTTCACACCAGCTAAAGTTAGACCGACAGGAACTGGTCTTGCCATTCAGATCTAAAAGGTCAAGTCTTGAGTCATGCTTAAAATAAAGTTAAATTTAGAATATAGAAATAAAGCAAGTTTTTATTTCAGCAATTATTTATGTCTTTCTTTGTATATATGTTTTACTGTGCTGCAGTAGACTTGAACTTTCCACTTTTATTTTTCCAGAGGAGGAAAGTACCAAAGTGGAGTGACTCAGGTTACAGGCAGGTTATAACAGTGCATCAATAATTAAACCTTAAAGGTAAGTTTCCACATTTCAACTTAAATGATTTACTTTACTTTATTGTGAGTGAATTTATTTTCCATTTTCCATTTATTTTTCGACTTCTGATTTGGGTTTGTTGTGTCTGTGTGTGTCTGTGCTGTGTCAGTGGTGTCTACATCCCTACCCCAAATCTCACAACCACCACCACCTTCCTCATATCATGCATCACCAGCCCTCTTTGTACTGGCTCCACTGCAGCTCCTGAGAGTCAAAGCCAGTCTTAACACACCCCAGGGAACTCCTCTCTCATATTACATGGCCATTAAAGACAATGCATTTTTAGAACCCCCTAAATGTTGAATCGCCAACCTTCAAAGTTAACTTTGGACGATTATACATTAGTTATCACTGAGGTGCAACTTGCAAAACACTCAACTGAGTTGTTGTATTTTTTCGGCGTGTGAAGCCCCATTCACAGTCAGGCTGCAGGAAACAGTAGCACTTACTATGAAGGAGTTAAAATGGGGTCTACGCGACACGAGCATGCGGTTTAAAGCATGGGCGCTTCACTCAGCCGCTCAACTTTACGCACGGAAATGCGTCTCCCCTCTGCTCCTTAGCTCGTGCGCATCACCTTAAAACGTATCTAGCCTGTGACACGGATTACTAGAAAGCTGGTAATTACTCAATACTGAATCATTTGCATGTGGCTACGTAGTGTAACGTAACGTTGTACTTCTTTACCTTGTAGACTCTACGGGAGCGCATGAAGCAGTGATCCAAGATAGGGATTTCCTTGAAGTCTAAAAAGCTGGAAATTGTAGGAAGCAAAAGTGCGTCGAAACAAGGCAGCCGGCAAAGTTTTAGGTCTCCCTTAAAAGATGGTAAGGGCGAATTTGAGATTTTGGGTTGCTCTGTTTAGCGCGTCCACGGGGAGGAGGGGATACAGAGGCTGTAAGGCAGCCCCGCCCGCTCATTACCATTACAGTTGTGCAATAGCTATTAAATGCATTAGTGACCAACTGCCACAAGTGGCTGCTGGCTGTAATCAGCAGCAGCTTCATGAATATGATTTCACATTAACAGCATGATTAAGCTTCGATTAGCAATCAGCAATAATGGAAAACTTTAACAAAGACAGCTGCTCCTGTGAAATCCACTTTCAAGTCAAAAAGAAACTGAGCATCCACAAAATCAGTGATATTATTTCCATTTAAGTCCATGGAGGAGTCCTACAAAGCATTCTTAAATTAAATAACAGTAGAAATAGTTTCCCTATGTCCCTGTTATGGTCAGATTAAGTACAAAAACATAAGGATGCTATCTGATGAGGCACAAGACAATCGATCATTCAAATTATTATTTTATTCACAGACAAATAAAATGCTAAAATAAAAGTCTTGCAAACGTGAAAAGACAGCTCTCAGCTGTGGTAGAGTCATCAGGGCAGTCCAGTGGGTGAAACAGGAGAACAGTAAGTTGAACTTGAGATCAAAGATTAGCCGTATCAACTGCCTCACAGAGTACTCAGAGACAAGTCGGTTGTCAGTCTGTGCCAGTGTGCATTTCTACCTTTTGGCCAAATAGAAAGTCCCTTTGGCACAAAAGAAAAAACAGAGAATGTGAGAAGAAAACACATAGCCGGGTTGGAAATGGTGACAATGGAGAGATCAGACATTTTCAAAAAATGCCAGTAATCCATGTCAACAATTGTTTACCCTTAATAAATTATGCATTTAAAAATACTGCCAGCATACTATAACTGAGCAGTGTTGTTGAGCTGACAATACAAGGCCTCATTTTAGCATCAGTCCTGTGCTGAGCACATGAGCACACCTTTCTATACATTATTCACAATATTTACACCAAGGGCTTTTTTTTTTACCTTCTCTTTTTAGGCAACCTAACAACAGTTTCTTTCAAATCCATTTTCGCACACTTTTTCCCAGGCATCCAACTTTAGCAATGCCATGGTTTTAAAAGATGACTGAAAAGTTTCTGATGTGATGTCCTCCTCTACGACTTGGCCTCCAGAAGGGGCTTGATGTCTTTAATGCCATGCTCCTCTGCGACAGTGATGATGTGGTCCAGGGCATTCATGTGGCCCAGCATCCTCACAAGCTCTTTGATTTGGTCCCTGTTGGCAGATATGGGTTGTATTAGAAGCAGTATGGACAGAAACCATAGCATCACACCACAGCTTTATGACAGACATGAAGGGAGTCATTTAAAAACACCAGTTAGTAAATTGTAATTATGCAATTTGACAAAACAACCTCTTCCACTGTATCCCTCTTAAAGCACCTTCCATAATATTCCAGTAGATGGAGCCATAACTGCAAGCTCCCCAATTTACACCAATAGTCCCTATATGTGGAGCCTGGCAGAGCCTCTTACTTTGCAGTGCGGCGTTCCACGTCAGACCCGCCCAAACTGCTCCGGTACAATGAGTTGGCCAGGTGGGTGAGGTAGCGACAGAATGGCTCCAACTGAGGCAACGTCTGCTGGCCCTTCAGTCCAGAGAACCACTGCAGTGGCAAACACTCCACCACCTGAGAAAGGTACAAGAACAAGGACGTGTTCAACACAAGCTCTGTGTCACTCTGTTTTGGTGCGTCACGAATGGCCACGGTTGCCCAACTGAGACACCTGCTCCTCCACAGCAGGTGTGATTGTCAAGTTGAGGGTGCAAGCAGTATGAAGGTACAGGAAAATGGAGTGCAGCCAATCATACTGACTTGGGCTGAGGCTTGTATTATAAAATATAAGCACCCTTCATCAAATTGTCAGATCTAGGAGAAGAGCCAGTTTCCACTGCTCAGGCAGCTAAAAAAAAATCATCTTTATTTTTAGACTTTATAGGCACATCATAAGATGTCTGCAATAATTCCGAAACCTACAATTAGGTGTGTAAATGCAGTAAGGGGTTGTGAAAATAAGTTTCATTTTGTCTTAGTTAACACTAAGCCTGACAGGAAGAGACTGATAGTATCTTGGGTTAAATAACAAAAAGCATTTCCTCTGATGTTGCACTGGCTCTCATGCAAACCAAAGTAAATGTACTGCTTTATATAATAAAACAGCCCTCATGCAATCTGTGAAGACCTTTTCAAACTGTATTTGACACAAGATCAGGCCGGGGACAAAGTTGAGGGAGTAAGAGCAGAAATTGAATAATAAAAAAGGACTTCCTTCTTTTATGTTCTAGTACTACATACTGCAACAGACCATGAAATCAAAAGTAGCAGACAACAGAGGCCCCTCTTTTCAATTAAAAATGTCTATACCTACTCTTAATGATACTGCCCTCTGTCTGAAGAGTGATATCACTAAACAAGTCACTTAAAGGGAATGGACTTGCGCATGAGACCAGCGAAAGCACGTGAATACACATGAATGCGGTGACCATGTCTCACGGTCTCGCACAAGCGCGCATATGTAAGTGCGGTGCACAGAGAGGCAGTTAGAGCTGCAGGCTACAATGAGGCTAAAAACAGAGTTCAAATGACGTTTTCCAAATAACTTTTTATGTCGGGGCTTCAGGACACTTGGATCACTACGGACGAGCAGTATGGAGATATTTTGTGATTTCAATTATGTGTTGTTGGACATTTGAATCTGGGGCCTCCATTAGATGGAGTTGTGTTGCTACCCTCTCCCCTTGGATTTCTGCAAGTGATGTGAGGACTCTAAAAACTTCAAGTAGATAATGGCTGAATTTTCATTTTTGGGTGCACTATCCCTTTAATGTGAACAAGCATTCTGACTGTAAGAGCCCTGCTGTGTCTATTTACACATGAAAGCATGAAACTATAAAACAAGTGATGCATCTCCTACCTTCTGGCACTTTGGGACATTGTCCTCCCCAGTGTCTGTGGTCTGCAGTGCAGAGAGGATGTATCTATTCAAAGTGCTGTCCAACGCCAGATCCTTTAGAGAGGATATGGATAAGATACCATCCCACTGCAGGATGTTGCCCAGCAGCTAGGAAAGAAACACAGCAGCGTACAACATCAATACAAGTAGTTCTATAGCTGTCGCAGATGTAAATGTGACGATCAGTGGTTAGCATATAAACTACAGTACAGGCCAAAAGTTTGGACACACCTTCTCATTCAATGCGTTTTCTTTATTTTCATGACTATTTACATTGTAGATTCTCACTGAAGGCATCAAAACTATGAATGAACACATGTGGAGTTATGTACTTAACAAAAAAAGGTGAAATAACTGAAAACATGTTTTATATTCTAGTTTCTTCAAAATAGCCACCCTTTGCTCTGATTACTGCTTTGCACACTCTTGGCATTCTCTCCATGAGCTTCAAGAGGTAGTCACCTGAAATGGTTTCCACTTCACAGGTGTGCCTTATCAGGGTTAATTAGTGGAATTTCTTGCTTTATCAATGGGGTTGGGACCATCAGTTGTGTTGTGCACAAGTCAGGTTAATACACAGCCGACAGCCCTATTGGACAACTGTTAAAATTCATATTATGGCAAGAACCAATCAGCTAACTAAAGAAAAACGAGTGGCCATCATTACTTTAAGAAATGAAGGTCAGTCAGTCCGGTAAATTGCAAAAACTTTAAATGTGTCCCCAAGTGGAGTCGCAAAAACCATCAAGCGCTACAAGGAAACTGGCACACATGAGGACCGACCCAGGAAAGGAAGACCAAGAGTCACCTCTGCTTCTGAGGATAAGTTCATCCGAGTCACCAGCCTCAGAAATCACAAGTTAACAGCAGCTCAGATCAGAGACCAGATGAATGCCACACAGAGTTCTAGCAGCAGACCCATCTCTAGAACAACTGTTAAGAGAAGACTGCGCAAATCAGGCCTTCATGGTCAAATAGCTGCTAGGAAACCACTGCTAAGGAGAGGCAACAAGCAGAAGAGATTTGTTTGGGCCAAGAAACACAAGGAATGGACATTAGACCAGTGGAAATCTGTGCTTTGGTCTGATGAGTCCAAATTTGAGATCTTTGGTTCCAACCGCTGTGTCTTTGTGAGACGCAGAAAAGGTGAACGGATGGATTCCACATGCCTGGTTCCCACTGTGAAGCATGGAGGAGGAGGTGTGATGGTGTGGGGGTGTTTTGCTGGTGACACTGTTGGGGATTTATTCAAAATTGAAGGCACACTGAACCAGCATGGCTACCACAGCATCCTGCAGCGACATGCCATCCCATCCGGTTTGCGTTTAGTTGGACAATCATTTATTTTTCAACAGGACAATGACCCCAAACACACCTCCAGGCTGTGTAAGGGCTATTTGACCAAGAAGGAGAGTGATGGAGTGCTGCGGCAGATGACCTGGCCTCCACAGTCACCGGACCTGAACCCAATCGAGATGGTTTGGGGTGAGCTGGACCGCAGAGTGAAGGCAAAGGGGCCAACAAGTGCTAAACACCTCTGGGAACTCCTTCAAGACTGTTGGAAAACCATTTCAGGTGACTACCTCTTGAAGCTCATGGAGAGAATGCCAAGAGTGTGCAAAGCAGTAATCAGAGCAAAGGGTGGCTATTTTGAAGAAACTAGAATATAAAACATGTTTTCAGTTATTTCACCTTTTTTTGTTAAGTACATAACTCCACATGTGTTTATTCATAGTTTTGATGCCTTCAGTGAGAATCTACAATGTAAATAGTCATGAAAATAAAGAAAACGCATTGAATGAGAAGGTGTGTCCAAACTTTTGGCCTGTACTGTATATCAAGGACACACATACAGTCAGAGATGTTAGCATTTAAACTTGTCAAGTATAAACCTTTCAAATCCAGATCTGCTCCTACATGTGATGTGATTTACAACAACCATTCAGAACTACCATCTGAGCAATTAGTGTCTGAATGGATTAATTCATTTAAAAAGAATGTTGTCTTTACACCACTGTTGCACATACCTTCACACAGGACCAGAACTGCCTCTGG